GGTAATGGTGAATTCTTTTGTTCCTTTACTTGTCAATAAGGGAACTAGTATATGTAGATAGTAGTTAATATGGAAGTATATATATATGGACCTAACCTTAAATCTGAATCGTAGTGTCTCTGGATGTTCAGCCCTTGTCGCCCATACTATCCACCTACGTTCCTCAAAAGCTTGTACTATTAAATTAGCTCTTCTCTGGTTATGAAATGAGAGGTACTAACTACTCCTAAATCCTAATAATACGTACTTGTTAAGAAAATGTACTTTGCGCCTAACTCTACCTCGAAAAGTTCATTAGATAGAGAATTGTCCAAGAGAGCAAGATCATATAACAAGACAACATCCCATTCCCTCAACCTATGTGGGACTCCAACATTCCCATGTGTTCCTAACCATGGCCATTTGGAGCATGGATGACATAATATGATGCCCAACAAATCAACAAGAGGATGTATGGCTTTGATACCTTGTTAAGAAAATGAACTTTGAACCTAAGTCAAACATAGATGGTAGCCCACTAGGTGAGGGTTGTCCAAAACCATTTAAGGGGACAATAATCAATTCCCTCAATCAATGTGGGACACTAGAACTGTGTTGATGGGCTTTATTAAGACATATATCTTGGAAAGTGTGCTCGAGTATTGGTCAAGGATGATTTTCTTTACTGTTTCTCTACATGTATACTTTTTTTCATTTGATTGTCTCGTGCATTACTTGTAAGCTAAGGGCTTGTCCATTGATCTACTGAGCCTGAGGCCTATCGGTTGCATCTTCTCTTGTAGTGTCAAAGAATGTGGCAGCATATACTGTTTCTCTGTGTAATTGTTGGCATGTAGCGCTGCTAGTTAGAATAATGGTTTGGTCATTTGATTATCTCTGGGTTGAATTTATTTTTCAGGGTTCGTCTTCACGTGCTTATCTTCCCAAAGGAGTGATCCGTGGATGTTCCAGTTGTCACAACTGCCAGAAGGTTCATTCTTCCTTAATATTGTATAATGTTTGGTTTCAAGGCAAGGATTAAATGTTTTCTACCCAAAAGTTAATTGCGATCATCTGTCTTGTTATTTATGTTTTTTCAGTTTTCATTGAGCTTATGATGTTTCTGGTATGCTTTTTCAAAAGGTTATTGCAAGAAGTCGTCCGGAATCGGCACGGATCCCTTCACTTGATGAAGCTCCTGTACTCCATCCTACTGAAGAGGTATTCTTTGACACTCCCATCTTTCTTTCAGCCTGGTATATGCCCTCTATTGGATCATGAACAGGTACTGTGCCAGATGCTGCTTTCATGAAGTTAAATCTTATGCTAGGAGTTTAAAGATACTCTCAAGTATGTTGCAAGCATCCTTCCACATGTCAAGCAGTATGGAGTATGCCGTATTGTTCCTCCCTCTTCCTGGAAACCACCTTCCCGCATTGAAGAAGAGGACACGAGGTGTGGAGTTGACACTCATATCCAGCGCATTAGTGACCTCCAGAGTCTGTTTTTAAAGAAAAGACTTGAGGGAGCCCATAAGAAGATGAATAATAGACGGCAGAAAATCCCAAGTATGAAGCCAGAGTTTGGACACAGCGTGGAACTTAAAGAATTTGGTTGTTGTAATGAACACTTTGAATTTGAAAGTGGGCCAAAGTTTAAGCTGAAGTCTTTCAAGAATTACGCTGATCATTTCAAGAGGCAGTACTTTGTCAAGGAAGATCAGATCACAGCTTCAAACTTTAATTCAGATGCGATGCAGATGCTGTCAGAACCATCTATTCCTGATATTGAAGGGGAATACTGGAGGATTATTGAGAATCCAACTGAAGAAATTGAGGTTTTCTCTGGAATTGCAATTTTCTTTTCTAGGGATCTGCCAAACTCTTTTTTTCCTTCCATCATTTTTTCTCACTTTTCGTTGTCAATTTGGTTTATTAGGTGCTCCATGGGAATACTACGGAAACTAGTGCAAGCCAAAGTGGTTTTCCACTTAAAACCAATCCACGGGATGTAACTGCATGTCCACAATATGTGGAATCAGGTTGGAACTTGAACAATACCCCTAAGCTTCAAGATTCTCTTCTCCGTTTTGAGAGTTGTAACAGTTCCTCTATTTTGCTTCCCCGGCTCTCCATTGGAATGTGTTTTTCATCTAATCACTGGGTAAGATTTACAGCTTTTTCATTAAGCAAGGACTTTTGTTCTTTTATTCAAATTATTCTTGGGCATATTCTCGTTTGTCTTTGTTTTTTGGGGGTGGGGCAGTATCTCTTGGGAGGAGAAAGTACTAATGAGCATAAGTCCATTTGTTAGCATTTTCTTTTTGATTGATTGATTGGCTATATTTTCTTCTTTTTCCATCCTCCATTAGAGAATTGAAGAGCACCACTTATATTTGCTATCCTACATACATTTTGGCGCTCCAAGAATATTTTATGGGGTTCCCGGGAGTCATCGTTGCAAGTTTGAGGAAGCTGTCAAGAAGCATCTCCCACAGTTGTCAGCACATCCTTGTTTGCTTCAAAACCTTGTGAGTTTCAAGTCTGTGAAGTTATTTTTCGTTATTTTGATTAGGAAATGCCTGTTACTGGAAAGAAAGGTATGAATGTTTAGCTGGTTCCTTTTTTCAGTTTACTAATAAAATAAACTCTCCTATTTGTATATCCATGAAATATTACAATTACTTATGAAAATCCAAATAATCTCTGGATTAATCAAAAGATCCTTTCAGTTGGCTAGAATAAGTTACTCGAATGAAACTGAGGACCTCCAAAAAGAGAATGAGGAATTATTTGATTTCCCTTATAAAAAAAATGAGGAAGCATTTGGTGTGATGATGTAGTTCTCTTGGTAATTTGTATTGCAAATGTGATGAGTTCTCTTGGTAAATAAATATATATATATATATTATATTTTTTTGTGGTTTTAAAGGAGTGTGTTGGGGGTGGGGGAGTAGTCTTTGGTGAATGGGAAGTTATCCGGAAGAAGTTGAAGTGAACATAGTATTTTGAGATTTTAACCTTATGTCTATGAAAATGCTCTTTTTCCTTTTTGCAATTTTCTTTTCTAAAGCTATGGTAATGTTAAAAGGAGAATGTGCAGAGTTTGCAATTAGACAGATTGTATTTCCAATTTTTCTTTATCCCAAGTCCAATTCCCCTTTCATTATCGTTGCAAGTTTCGAATAACTTTCTCAACCTTCAAGAATGAAATTCATTGAAGTATTCAAAATTTCTACCTTTGATTAAATCTAGTCTCTATCCAACTTTCTTCCTACCCATTACTCAAGATTTTCTTCATCTGTTACCTTCAACCTCTTCCACTACTATCCCTAATTGATGCATTCTGGAGACGTGATTTATTTAATTTTCTTTGCATTCCTTCTTTTTCTTACAATGGAAGCAGTTGCACTTCAGCTGTGTTTTGTGCCGAGTTATACGACCTGGAAGGCCATACTTTGCTAAGTGCTTAATGTGTGTGTGTCTAACAACACTCATCCTTGTCTGTTGTTACATCTTACTGTCTGGGCGTATGTTGAAGCGATGAGTTAGTGCTATTGGAAACTGTCGTTTTTTGCTTGAAATAATGAATTTTAAATCCTTTATTCAGTATTCTTGTCCTCTTTAACTTTGGAATTTTATTCTTTTTGTGAATAAATTTTTGCCATCATCATAGAGTAGAGTAGGAAAGAAGAACACAATTATTGGAGACTTCTGACTCATAAACATTATTTCTTGTGGATGATTATATGCTTCAAGTTTGACCAGGACAGTCTAAAATTTCCTTTTCCGATTAAGAGGAGATAGAAATATAATATGCTTGATTTTGTTATATTTTGCACGCTGAAGATGAAAAGTTCGTCTATTACCTTCCATTTGATCGATCAACCTTCATATTCAATGCAGGCCACACAATTCTCTCCTTCTATATTGACTTCAGAGGGTATACCTGTTTATCGTTGTGTGCAAAATCCGAAGGAGTTTGTTCTCATACTCCCTGGAGCATACCATGCAGAGTTTGATAGTGGATTTAATTGTTATGAAGCAGTAAATTTTGCTCCTTTTGACTGGTTACCACATGGTCAGAACGCTGTGGAACTGTACCGTGAGCAGGACAGAAAGACATCAATCTCCCATGATAAACTGTTGCTTGAAGCAGCTGCTGAAGCAATTAGGGCCTTAGGAGAACTTGCACTACGCAACAAGAATTCATTTGATGATTCAAAATGGAGAAGAGTCTGTCCGAACTATGGTTATTTAACAAAAGCACTTAAGGTAAGCCTCTATTCCCCTCTCTAGTCGTTCAACAATAACTCATGCTTCAAATATGACTAGGCAAAAGTAACAGGGTCTTTTGTATTTCTCTCTTTTTGATAGGCTTATTGTTCCTTTTCTGGATGCTCTGTACTGCTTTCTTATTAGTTGCCATGTTTTCTTTACTGTCGTTTTCCCTTTTCATAACTGCTTGCTTTGTTGCACTTGAACCAAGGGTCTTCCGGAAACAGCCTCTCTACCTCCACGAGATAGGGGTAAGGTTTGAGTTGTGTACACTCTACCCTCCCTAGACCCCACTTGTGGGATTTCACTAGGTGTGTTGTTGTTAGCAGCTCCTTATCCTTAACCCGGAGGTTGAGACTTAGCTTCTGTTGGTCCCTACTCTGGTTGAGGAAGTTAACTATGCTAAGGGTCCTTAGAGGGCTAATGTCATGTCTTGAGTTTAAAACTCACGTGAGAAATAGCAAGCATTACTGACTAGTTATATATTATTTAGAATATGATTTATTGTTTCATTTTGTGTTGGATAGACACGGGTTGCCTCTGAAGTGAGAACACGGAAATATCTGTTTGCTTCTCTTGAATCGCGAAAGATGGAGGATGACTTTTGTGCTACCACCAAACGGGAGTGCGTTACATGCTTTTGTGATCTATACCTTTCTGCTATTGGCTGCAAATGTTCACCACATAAATATACTTGTCTTCTTCATGCCAAACAACTATGTGATTGTGCTTGGAGCGAGAGGTATTTGCTTATACGGTATGAAATAGATGAGTTGAACATCATGGTTGAAGATTTGGATCGGAAGGTAAGTGCAGTTCACAACAGGGTAAAAGAAAAACTTGGATTGCCTGTATCCGATGTTTCTAAAGATGCTAGCAAGGAAGTAGGTATGGAAACAATGAAGCATAAACCTGTGATTCCTAATGTGGAACTCTCTGAGAGTATATCTCACCGTTCAACCTCCAGACAAGCATCAGATATTCAACAGTACAGGAAAGTAGATGTGTTCTTTGCACCTTCAGTTGGTCCAAGTTCAACAACAATGAATTTGAATCATCGATCACAATTGAAAGAAAACGTTCATGATGAGAATAAAGTTCTATTGCCAAAAGTATCACAGGATACTGCTGCTGTTGGAGAAAATATTGCAACTTCTTCCAGTACAGTTCTCAAGAAACATCTTGCACAGGGGTCTTCATCGACAGTTAGAAATGTGATTATTCTCAGTGATGATGAAGACTAGCAACCCCAAGTCCACCATATCACGAATGGTAACAAGCATTTGTATGTCGGTTCTTTGCTGTAAATTTGCTGATTGTAAAACTTGAATTCTGTAACATCACTGGGAAATACTCTTTCAAATCAATCTTGGCGCTTTGTTTCGTGTATATCTGTTCTGGTGCTCCTTTTGTTCAATCGAATTCACAGCTATGCATTTAATTGCACGCTTTGCCCTTCAAATGGGCTGATTTTTAATTTTTGCCCTTCAAAGGGGTTGGTCTTTAATATTTGTCCTTCAAAATCGAACTTTTTGTTTGAGTAGTAATATTAGGATATTTCTTGTTCTTTCTCTTCAAGAACCTAACTCTATGTTCCTCTCTTACTTGATTTTTTTTGTTTAGGGTTCATACATGATGCATCAATCAAGTCAAAGAACTTGCTCCAAAAATATAAGCGTTAAATTTCAATACAATAGGTGTCTCTCAATGCAAGTCGGTTGAACACCGTGATTGATGAGTGAATAGGTGGATTAGGCAAGCAAGGGTTTTACTTAATTGTACAACAAATAATTATGCAAGTATCTTGAAAAGGATACATTCCCATAAACACATGAAGATAATGAGTAATACAAGTTCTATCTTCCACCAAAATAATAATAAAAGGAGTTCTTTAAGAATAATTTGTCCCTTGAAAGTACATTCATCATCACCAACAAATACCATCAAATATGTAAATGCCACAAAAAGAAATATGTAGAAAGAAGTACTCACAAGTCACAAGTGTTAGAAAGTGGGAGGAAGTAAGAGAAATTTTCAATAAACCTAGGTTTATACTAGGGATCTTTACCTTGAGTTGAGGGTCTATCGGAAATAACTTTTCTACCCTACAAAGGTAGGGTCTGCATACATCCCACCCATCCTGCCTTTACCAAACCCCATGGTGGATATTATACTGAGTACGTTGTTGTTATTGATGTATCTTTACCTTGAGCAGGTAAATGTTTAACCTAAATTATGCTCGAACTAACTAATAGTCTACCTGATTAGATTCCACGATGTATATTATTCGAAACTAGCTAGTGAGTGAGTCAACTGAAACTGTAACTATGGAAACTAGCTAGTGGGTGAATCGACTAAAACTGTAACTAAGGAAAAGAATGCTAATGTGCAAGTATTATAAGGTAAAATAAAGTAATTACGACGGACCATAAGAATGAAATTGAAGTGACATTAGATAAGATCATGTTGCCCACGAATGTAGTTTATTATGATAGCTAGGCTAGATTTTCTAAGAGAATGACATGATAAATAAGGAATGTAAACAGTAAACACTATATTTACCTCTCAAACAGAGTAGAGCTTTATAACCTGGTCGATTTTTACTCGACAAACAGGGCACTCCCCTTTCTTTGATTTGATCTGGTTCAAACACTGCATGCAGCCAACCATGTGACCACAAGGTACACATGCTCCTTCAACTGAAGCTTCCCAACATATTATACACAGTGCAGGCTCATGTTCTTTTTCCTTTTGAGTCGTAACAGAAGCTGTTTTTTGCTCCACAGGAGGATTCGACATGTGCAATGGGCTAAGATCTATGACCGGATAATGAATGTCTTCAACTTCTTCTGGAACAGGTGGAGCTGAAGGTACCGCAAAATCAAAAGCAGGATTGTTACCCTCTTGAGTTTCAGCGTTTTCACTTGGATAGACAATAGGCCTAAATTCAGGTGCATTGTCTGTCTTGTCCATTGCTTCCCAGCTACTTACATCTGACGATGCTGTTTTGTCCTTTGAAGTGTTTTCCCATCCTTGATAATGAACTTCAGCTGAGGCATCTCTGTGTCTCTGCCGAGGCTCGGGCACGCCCCATCCATTGTACTCTTCTACAGCAGGCTCATCGATCCATCCGCTGCAGCTTAGTTCAGAGGGTGTGGATTTAGGAAGTGATTGTTGTGGTTGTTGACTGGATACATCTGCGGTATTTCCCCATCCATTTTCTTGGACCTTAGTTCGGTCATCCGTCCAATCATTGTTAGTAATTTCTGATCTAGGCTCGGATCTGACAAGTGAACCCCATCCACTGTGAGCAGAGTCGTCGGTGTTATTACACCAGTCATTTTCATTTTTTACTCCGGAACTTTGTCCATGATGATGTAAAATCTTATTTTCTTTAGCAGAATCAATGGAAGAGTTGATTCCAATTGCTAATTCCATTGCTTGTGCAGCAGTTTCAGATTGTGTAGCTGCAGTTTGGGTATTTTGTGGTAAGCGGGAAGGCAGGACCTGAAATACTAACATGTGGTAAGGCCCCCGAGGTCGCTTCTACTCTATCCTCTTAGTGCATCATTAAAAAGAAAAAAATAGGGAAAAGGATCAAAAGTTCCCCACTACCATATGATGTATTTTATTTTTACCCTCCATTATACTTTGGGTTTGGGATCATTGATACCCTTGTCGTTAGCAAATCGCCTTGTATAAAGTCCAGAGAAAACATGAGACATTTTGATAACAAAAAGGATATGGATGGCTCTCCAAAGTAATAAAACAGGTGAAATTAAGGTATTTTGTATAGTAGAGGGATAAATTTGGACCTAAGCCCTAAAATAAATATATAGAAAGAACATGCATAGCAATTGCGAGGTAGAGAGGTTGTTTTCAATAGACCCTAGCTAAAGGACAAGTATATCGAAGCAGTTTGGGAAAAGAAATAACAGAAGGAAAGAAGCCACAACAAAATACTAAAGATAGCATGGCAAAGCATTATGAAAAAAAGGAACAATAACTACAATATTTTTTTATAACGACATAATAATACTATAATCGAAGTACAAGAAACAACAAATAGTAACAGAAATCGAAGAATAAACAACTACAAGAATAATACTATGACTATGAAAGAGCATGCATAGTACCTCAGGAAAAGAAACCATACAAGAGATTAATACTACTATGTTTAAACAGATTTAGCTGATAATACGCACAATACCCTGTTAGATATTTAGCTGTTCACTGTTTCATTCAGCTTCGAAAGCATAAAGTTTATGATTCAAGAATACTATATCCTCTCTTGACCAACAATATTCCGGCTCTAATTTCACAGTTGAATTGGAACACCAAAAAAAAAGTTTTTTTTTGTTAATCAGGTCAAAGTATTTATATCCATAGTCATCTTCATTATCTACAGCTTCCACTTTAAACTTAAATTTCTTAGATTACACACTCTCAATGTCCAGCACACCGCAGAAGTTTTACAATAAAACTACATGCCATCAGCTGCTACTAAGTAACAAGACAGAGTAAAGCAAATATAATTTTAATGGGTGTACGTTTCTTATCCAAGTGAAATTAAGGCAACAAAGCATAATGCACATATTTCAAACGTGACATGTGTAATATCGCATGATACAAACTCATCTGATGAACAAGTACAGATACAGAATTGGTAAAAAGGTATGATTCAGTCAGAGTTGGTAATTACCTCAATGGAAGCAATACATGCTCTGTGCAACAATTGAAGCTGTTGTTGCTCAGAATCGCTGACTGATGTAAATTTATATCGAGTGTCTGATATGAAAACAACAAAATCAAAGAGCTATTATAAATCTATTCTGAAAAGAGGCCTGTACCTGAAAAAACATTAAATAAGCGGTTTCTCGATGAAACAACTTAAGTAAACTAAGCCCACTTGTTGGTCACAGTAAAGCTTTTTACTTCTAGGAGAATAACTATCACACTCTACATTCTAACATTAAGTAAATCTGCATAGCTACCTAAGCCACAAATCAGAGCTATTAGTTAATCAAGGAATCTAAGTCATTCGGACTCTTCACTTTCGGTGTCGTACCCATGTCGACACGACATTGGGATCTGTACCCGGTTTGGTCAACTGATTTAGGGGTACTTTGACCAAAATTCACGGAGAATTCGGGAGATACCTATTATTTTGCAATCAAAACAAAAGCTAAGATGAATTGAAGAGAATGGAATAGCTCTTTTCTTTTTCCTTTTATCTCCTTCTGGGATTCTCCTCTTGATAAATATTTTCTCCTCAGAATAGCTTATAAATTTTCCACTCTCATAATTTTAGACTTATAACTCTAATTTTTGGATATTTTAATTATTTTAAGCCGAATCCCCACCCACACTTGTATCCGTACCTGGATCTGTACCCCTGAATCTTAAAATTAGACCATGAAGGATCCGACCTCTAGATCCACACTTGTATCGGACACCGCACTCGAGTCCGAGCAACTTAGTAAGTAAGAGAAATGCAATTCAGAATTTGTCTTTTTGAGACAAAATTCTGAAACCTACATATGTGAGTAATAGCACTCATCTTTGTGTACTCCTGAACCTAAAGTTGCATATGCATCTACATATCAATTCTATCCTCTAAAATAAAATCTGTTGAGCTCTATTTTTGGCTGCAACTTAACAACATTTGGAAGGGGCTAACTTGTCCAGTACTAGAAAGAGTTCTACAGCGACTGCATATATGACGACCATTTGAAACAGTAAGCACATCAGTACCCCAAACCAATAAACCAAAAATAAACAAAATTTATATTTGTGCATTAAAGCTTTAGCCTTGTAGAGGAATTTCTCTTGAAGCACATAAATTAACTGCTCATTGATAATTGTGGATAAGAATAAAAGGCTTTCTCCATTCAACAAGGCACCTACAGAAAATAATTTCATGAGAAGAGTATTACTACTGGTCTTGTCAAAAATTGTCAGCACAGGATCTGATCGTTGCTGCCTTATCTCTTCAACAATAGCTCTCCATAAAACGATAACATTACGAGGCTGGGCGTCCTATTCAACAAAACATCATGTTAGTAAATCTGCCAATTTTATAGAAGGAACAAAAAGTACTCCCTTCTTCCCATCACGTGATATAGTTTGACTAGGCACGAAGTTTAAGAAATATGGGACATGGAAAGAATTTGTAAAGTTCCAAAACTGCCCTTGAAATAAATAAATTTAAAATAGAAGAGTACACCGTTGTGAACTTTTTGCCAAATAAGTGGGACCTACCATGGGTTAAATATTGATAGCTTTATTAAACATTTGCCAAATTAGGAAATGTGTCATTTTTTTGAAACTGACTAAAAAGAAAAGTGTGTCACATAAATTGGGACGGCAAGATTATCAAGAGTGCTTCA